GAGAGAGAGAGAGAAACAACAACAAAGCTATCTCATATTACTATCCTTTCCTCCATACAATTTTCAAAACAAAAGAGTCAACGATGCATCTTGATTCTCACTTAAACGCGGATCATCGAATTTAAAATCTCTTTTTAATTCACTTTTGCATTTTTCATTCTTTCTGGCTGTTCCTCGATTAAAAGCAGCAGCGTGGAAAGTCGCACGCGTCTCGTTGAATATTTCCAAGCGTGGCAACCGCTTGTTTGGACGCGAAAGGCACGAGCTCGTTTTAATTGGTAAAAGGCCCTCTGAAATCCTTCGCATTCAAGATGCAAATCTGCGTGGACGCGTTCTTCCAGCTGGTCTGGCAACGTGCAAACGATAACGTTAAGGCGTCACAGCCTTTTGTCCGAGGAATTCAGCTAATCCTAACGTTTCTCGCGGAAAACGTCGTTTTCATTAGCACGAGGAGAGAGGCTTACGATAGCTCTTTCGCCATCGACCGTCACGAAATGGAACAAAACGGTTTCGGGATAATGTAATAAGTGCCTTGAATATAACACTCTTTTGTTATATCTGACATTGTTTTTAGAATAATGTAGGGTATTTAAAACTCGATCTTTTTGTAAATTTTCGAAGTTTATTCGTTGAAAGAAATTCAAAGGAAATTTAAGTTTTTATAATTATTTTTTAAGTTTTCGTATTCGTATTTTAATTTATCATTTTTAAGTTTATTTTATTTCATTGAAGATCAAATAAGTTTTGAAAAATTGAATTATATTTAAATTTATTTTTTAAATTGTTTGATTTTTTTTTGTTTCAACCAAGGAATTTATAACGATTTGTTGAAACAATCAAAAAATGTGAACAAAATTTGTTTCAAAATTTATAATTTTTTCCTAGATACAGAAATAGAATGACAGAGGGTTAGACAGGATTTTATCTCTCTAGAAAAAATATTTAGAAATTTTTTGATCATTATTATATAATTTTTTAACATTTTATTTTTATATTATTATATTAGCTTTGTTATTATAATTATATAATATATTCTTGTTATAATATGTTATTCTAATATAACATTGAATAATGCAATATATTTCTACAATGCATGTGACGTATAAATCAGATACACGTCATTTCAATTGTGCAATGATTTTGATCATGATATATTATCTTCATGTCAGAGACATGAGAAAATGTATAATTTGATAATTTATAGAAATTTCTATTTTAAATATAGGAAGAATAATTATCACCATCAATATTTTTGAAATGCCTATAATTATTCCAGAGTTCAATTTAACTATAAAATATCGTGGACTGAAAATAAATAATAGAAAAACAATGTTCATCCTATGTTTTATTAAACAAAAATTCGTGCCATTGGCATAAAGGGGATGATACACAATCAGTTACAAAATATTCATACACTGCAAATTCAACAACAATAAATTGTATTGCTAAATTCTATATTCTATTCTATTTTATATGAAATATTGTGTGCATCTTAAGGTATATAAAACAATTTTTTGATATGAATATGAATATATCATTTAGAGAGAATGAAATAAATTCTTTCAATATTTTTCTTATTTTTTAAAACTATAATTTTGTAATAATATGAAATAGAAAAAAACACTTTAAATATACATATATGTGTATGCAAAATTATACTTAAAAGTTGAAAAAAATGATGGAATTTAAAATTGATAAATTTCAGATACTTGAAGAAATTAAAGAAATTGTCGCATGTATCCATAATTCATTACACTCTGCATACTTTTATTAGAATCAGAATTTTCGAATTAAATATATTTCATTGTAAGATAGCGTACGAAAATTTTTATAATACGACATAATCGTTGAAACGGGTTAAAAATGAAATTTTATTTTTGTTATCAATGACAAATATCTAAATAAACGGGTGGTGCATTTTTGAAATACGGAAACAATCGAAAAAGATGAAATAACAATAAAATAGAACAAGGATAAAATAAAATCAAATTGCTCTTTGATCTTACCCAACCCTAAATTTACCTTTACCACAATTTATACGCTCGGTTAAACAAACAACCCTCAAAAATGATTACTACACCTCGCAAACACTCGCGCTAGAAACATAAAAAAAAAGAAAAGGGGAAGAGTAAAAAAAAAAGAAAAGAACACTAAACCAAAGAACCTAAAAAACAAGACAACATCAACCTCAAAGCCAGTCTCGGCAAAAGACCACGCCAAAGGGGTACGCGTACATCGAAGAGGCGTCAGAGCTCATTTTCCCGTAAAAAAAAAAAAAAAAGGAACGAACAGAAAGTGCAACCATAGGGATATAGAATAGAAAGCCAAAGCAGCAACGTGAACCTCGTTTCCCCTTTAAAAATTCCCTTGGAAACGAAGTGAAGTAGTTCTCGAACTACCAATAGGGGTGACATTTAACCATTCATGTGGTTACTAAGTGATCATCGTATGCCGCACTTGCATTGCCTAACAAAGATTTTGTGAATCATGGTGCTTCTCAAGCAATATTGATTTTTAGTAACAAAGAATCGTGAATAGCATCGTAAGCATCGTATGCATTCTGGCTACCAAAAGGAAATCGTGACTCTGTGCAAATTCTGATGTTTGTTCGAGTTTTTATATGTATCGAAAGAAATTTGTATCGATGCATTTACATGTGTTTTTTTATTTAATACTTCGAAGATACCAACATAATGTTTGCTCATATTTTACTTTTATTTCTTCACACTTGATATCAGTAATATAATGTGACTTTGAAGTTCCATTCTTTTCGATTATTTTCGATTCTTATTCCCTGAATATTCAAAGGTTCGATATTGGTATAATTTCAACAATTTATTAAGATGTTCTTACGGACTTTTTTGCAAATATTTCGAAAATTATATGTACTGAACGATAGTTATTTATTATGTATAGGAAAAAGTTGGTCAATCAAAATCTTGTCGACATAACGAAATCAACTAAATAAATAATTCATTAATCAAAGTTGTCTTATTTTTTAATGACATGAGAATGTCGGTAGATTTGTTCTTTTCAATCTTTTTCAATATATATGAATATATTTTGCTAAATATTCGAAGATTAGACATCAGATTCGAACAATTCTGATGTTTTAACTCTACTGTTCCTTAATTTGACACGTGAAATCAGAACAAAAATTGCTCCATAAAAAATTTAATTTTCTTGTTAATAATAGAGCCAAAGAATCTATGCTCTTCAAATTTTACAAATTCAAGTAGTTTTAGTAATATAAATATAAACCATTTATTCTCTTTTCTAAAAACTAAATCTGTATCCATAAATCACAGATTATTAATATTTTGACCATTTAAACAGTCGTGGAACAAAAATCTTTAATATAACGAGCAAACAACATAGCCAAGAACAACCAATTTTTAAACACCATCATGTGTCTGAAAAGAATTTCATTTTTCGTATTCGAAAAAATTGAACAAGTCTACACCACGAACCTTCAAATATCGAACTATAGAATTTTCGAAGAATCACCCGTTCTTCCTTCCCTTTCTCGATTACAACTTTCGAAAAACAACGCGATAAAGCCTTTTCGTCGCGTCCCTCCCTTCATATCTCCACGCGACCATCCATCCCTTGTCACAGCCAATTCCACGAGGAGGCGTTCGTGTCGTTTTTGCCGTCGCTAAAAACTTTGATACCTTTTTAGCGGGAGAAGTGCGGCGAGGTATTGTTTCCAGCCAGGAAGAGGAGGGAGAGAGAGAGAGAGAGAAGAGAAAAGGGAGCGAATCGGCCGGTTAAAGAGGGTCGAGATAAGCCGAAAGGGGGTGGAAAACGAGGGCCGCGACGGCGCACCCGGCGCCGATAAGAGCGATCCTGAGGGCGCGTTCACACCGAACTTAAGCTCAGCCGTGGGGATGCGACGGGGGACCGGTAAATTTCGCGGCGCGATAGCGATCCAAACGGCGGATGGGAATAAGAATTCTGCGCGCCGTTATCCGGGGGAGGCGTAACGCGGGGGGTGTAAGTTACAAGCGGACGTCTGCACATGGGCTGAATGCCGAAGACATGGGGGTTGAGAACGTGCGAGAACCGTGGGAATTCGTGATGTTTCACCGTTGGATCGGGTATTAAGCTTTTCTTGTTGCCTACGCTCTACTCGTCGAAGAGAATGTCAAGAGAAAGTATACCAAGTTTTCATCCTACGCTTGGTTGTATTAGCCGAATATTTGTGGTGTTTATATGAGGGGGAGGGATTTCTATTTTTTCCACGAGATGACGTTGGTTACTTGTATTTTCTTATTGTAGACGTATCGGTGGTTTAGCTTGAAAATTATTTTGGCGAGTCGAATGTAATACGAGAATAAAGATACA